GAGGAAGATGGAAGTGGTCAGTGGGAAGATGAGCTATTGTTTTGGGGATTCAGCCATGTTGAATCAGGGCCATGATAATTTATTTAGTTGTTTGTACTCAGAAACTATCGGGGCTGGGAAGATGGCTCAGTGGAATAAGTGCTTGCCTGGCAAGCGCAAGGGCCCAAGTTCAATCCCAGGTTCCGGAAAAAAAAACCAAAAAAACTATCAACTGAGTCAGGCACTGTCAGGGAATAGGACAGACCAAGAGGGAACCCTGTTAGTAGGAGTGATCAATAAGAATCAGCCTTCACAGTAGGGAATAACTGAGTCAAGCACCAAACTCGCCCGGCTTCTTTGCTTTTCACTTCACCTGAGTGTACGCTGGAAACCACAAAATTGCCAGGCCAACTCTCCTACAGCGTTGGATTATTGTATTATAATGGTTGATGGCCATTGGTGTGTGTGTGTGTGTGTGTGTGTGTGTGTGTGTGTACATGGATTGAATGCAGAGCCTTCACACTGTGCTATATCTCCAGCCCTTTTAAAATTAAAAAAAAAAAATTCATATTGACACAGGGTCTTACTAGGTCACTAATTTGCCAAGGCACTAAGAATGGTCTTTTTAAAAAATTATTTATTTATTCTTTTTTATTAATTTTATTGAGAAACAAATAGCAATGAGACAGTTTCAAAACCAATTAACAGGACAGTTTCAATAATTACTACATTGCATATTGTTGTCTTTGTAGTAGTTGTTCATAGTACAAGATGCAGACATGATATCCTGTCCAAACACTATTAGTACAAATCTTTCCTCTCATTGAATTAAGAGAAAGTAGCTGTATATCTATCCTATTTTGTAAAGAATGGTCTTGAACTTGTGATTCCACCTTAGCCTCCCAGAGTGTCAGGATTACAGCCATGCACCGCAGCCTTGTGCCACCGCACTACCCCATACAGCTCCTTTAATACATATTTTCAGTCTCTGATTTATGTACCTTAACCTAAGGCCCAGTTACAATGAAAACTTTCCATTTTTTTTCTAGGCAGACAGTAGGCTTTTTGACACCAAATAAGCTGTGGCCTACAAAAAATGGGCAGATGAAAAGCTGAAGAAGCAACATGCGGAGATCCCGCTGGCCCTCCCGCTGGTGCATGGCCTCTCTCACCTTTGAGCTCTGAGAAGGCCGAGGGGTCAGATGCAGGGGGCTCTGAGTCTCTGCAGGTCCTCACTGGGATGGGACCAGATGTGCTTTACCTTGAACTGGAACTGAGAACCCCAGGCCAGAGTCAGAGCAAACTCAGCTGTGGGATCTTTCTTCATGGCTGTCATGTCACAAGAAAACCAGGTTCAGCTCCGTGGACTGAGGAGGTCACTGTGAAGCAGGGTGTCTTGGTTACTTCTCTCTCTCATTGCTGAGACAAACTACCTGACACCCAAAATGAAGGAAAGAAAGGTTTATTTAGCTCACAGTTTGTTGAGGTTTCAGTCCATATTCGGGTGGCTCCGAGGCAGAGTGGCACATGTAGAGGGCAAAAGTTCATGGTGGGGGAAAACAGCCAAAGCAAAAAGAGCAAAAAAGGGAGGAGCAGCAGACAGCAAGCCTCTTTCCCTCCCTTACATGGTGTGCAGGTTGTGTGCCCCAGGGTGGGGGTAGCACTCACCCCCATAATCCCAGCATTGGACCATTGATCAATTATAAACTGCAGAAGCCCAGCCCATGACTGCATAAGGCTTTGGGGGGACATCTAGACACAAACTACAACACAGGGGAAGAGATGGAATGGGAGGAAGGAAGGGTAGAGGGAGAAGAGAATTGAGAGGAGAAGGAGGGTGGGGGTGGGGTAGCACAAAGAACTGTATGGTTTCCTGTGTATTCTTTTCTACAACAAAGTGCCACAGACTGGGGACTTAAACAACAGAGAGTTAAGCTCATAGTTGTGGCAGCTGGAAGTCTGAGACTAAGGTGTCTGCAGGGTTGGTTCCTTCAGAGTTTCTCCAACTTCCTCCCAAAGCCTCATACAGTCACGGGCTGGGCTTCTGCAGTTTACAATTGATTCATGGTCCGATGCTGGCAATCTTGTGGGTTCCTGCTTAGAGATGCATCAGCTTAGCCTCCTCCTTCATTCCCCCTGCCTGCATGTCTCTGCCCAGACTTCCACCTCTGGAAGAGGACAGGGTATACACAATTAGGGCCCACCAATGACTCATCTGATCATCAAAGACCCTGATTCTTGTGAAGGTCTTGCTCACTGGTCCTGAGGGTAAGACTTCAGCCCCTTAGAGGACACGCTTCACAAAGGTGAGAAAGGGAAGAGAAGAACAGGCACTGATCCAAGTGGTGGAGGACAGGGGCCAGGACCATAAGACTGCATCCTGGACCCTTTTCTTTCCCACAGAGCCTGGACAGTGCAGTCTCTGAGACTTCAGTCTGTAGAGGCAGGGCTGTCCCTTGGGGATGCCCTATTTCTGATGCCAGGAGGAATTGGTGGAGATGAAAAGGACCTTTGCAGCAAAGTAGCTTGCTCCTGCAAGCTGGTAGTGAGGACCAGACAGAGCAGCAGATGTGATGGAGGATGGCCCCAGGCTGCAGCAGGAAAGCCTCCTGTTCCCTCCAATCCTGGGTGACTTGAGAAGCGTGGGGACTTGTGGGAGTCACGGTCCAATGCCTGCAACTTCTTCCTTTAACATGTGTAGTGAGGCCATGGAGGGTCCCTCTGGGGTCTAGTAGAGCGAATTTCCCCACCTGCCATGTGGCTGAGCTCTGTGGTAGTCATATGAACATGGTTTATTCTAACCCTGAGCCACTCCTACAGGCATGGGGAAGTTCCAACATTTGTAAGGTGATTATCTCTTTTGTCCTTAGAATAGTATTTGCTTTAGGGCAACCTTAAAATGCCATCCCGTGATTGTGGGTCAAACGGAATCCTTATAGGACTGATCTAAATCCCAGAGTCTCAGAAAACACCTAGACCTCACCTGACTTGAAAGAGAACAGCCATACAGTTGTCTCTGTTTTCATTCAAAAAATGTTTATTGAATCTGGGGAAATAGCCAATTTGGGGAAATGGTAGTGAAC